AAATTTAGTTATTTTTATAAATATATATTGCATTCCTTAACAAAAACCGTATAAACCATATCAAAAAAAATTCAACAAACTTTCGTAAAAATTGCGAACATTTTAATTAGACTTTTAGAAAGATTTTGATTATGCAGTTTTGGGGCCCTTTCAAAAGTGCATAATTGAAACGGCTAAAAATTACCGTTGAGCTTCCATGTAACGAATAAACACAATTTATTGTTATATGGAAGAAAACCGTACCATCTTTAACAAAAAAATCTCTACTATCAAAGGTTATTTTTAGATATGTGAAACTTGCACTTTACTATACTAGAATCGAATGGGCTAAAAAAATTGCATAATCAAAATCTTTATAAAAATCTAATTAAAAAGATCGCAATTTTTACGAAAGTTTGTTGGATTTTTTTTTGAGATGGTTTATACGGTTTTTGTTATAGAAAGCAATATATATTTATAAAAATAACTAAATTCGAATAACCAAAAATAATAATAATTTAATCTTGCCAATATGTTGTGCGGCTATATTTTTTTTTGACCACTGTATTTGCTTTAAGTTTTACCCCGAAAATCCTTCTATAAATAAGATGTGCAAATGCTCTCCTTCCTCGTTTCTTCTTCCTCTAAGTGCGATATCGTGCGCCCCGCAAAAAATAATTTTTGAAATAATAGACCGAATAATTTGTCTATTCAACTCAATAGTACTTTTATAGTTTTCTTGAATTGCTATATCGATTGGCTGGTCCTTCATAATTGCGTTTGCTACAGTAAGGGCATCTTTATGCCAACGACAGTTCTCATGGTTTTTTGCGTATTCCGTCATATGCTTGTAACGAACAAAGGCACGGACAATCAACGAACCGAGTACACCTTGTGCGTTCGCCGGAGGAAATAACACACAATATAAACACAACGCTCCATTTAATTTTTTCGAATATCTAAGCCATGGAGAAAACAACTCTAACCAATCATGTCTAAATCTTCTGTCTGAATCGTCTTTGGGGAAAATATAATCAACGGGAGGATTCCAGCAACGCCTCAGCATCTAAATTTTTTCCTCATGTGACATGAGGGATGATTTTCCAATCCACTTTCCGATGTCATTTGCTGGAATATCTGATAAATTTTCTATCAACAAATAATAAACTGTGTTTAAATAAATATTCATTTAAACTAACCTTTATAGCTTGAAGGTCTTTCCTGAAGACTTGAAGTAGACGCTGAAACCTCTTCAACCTGTTCTGTAGTTGGTTCTACAATTCTTCTTTTTGGTGCTGCAAAGAGGGTAAAAGTTTAAATTTTGCATCAACCTTCTACTTCGCGTCCTACCTGACAAAAACTTTCTTATGTCCATTTTCTTTTTATTTTTTATTTGTTTTGTATTTGCACACCGCGAATATTTTTTCCCGCACACAGCACAATTAATAGCGATAATAAAGTATCAAAAACTTCCAAATATGTATGTATTCATATTTGGAATTGAAATACTACAGGGTGCTTAATATGATCAACCAGTGTAATTTAAAAATGGTAAATTAATAATACTATGTTCACACAAAGCAATTTCCTTCGATTTTCATTGAAACTCGGCTATTGATGAAAAGGTACTGTGAAAATCGGACCGTGTGTACACACATGTGTAGTATAAATATTAATAGCTACAAAAATTAGGTACTCAACCAAAAGAGCTAGAAAAGGTAAGGATGGAGTTACCGTTTTTTGGTATGTCTTTCTTGGAAAATAATCGTATTTTTAGACAATTGGAAGAAAAAATCAAAAATAATCAAAAAACTATTGCGATTAGTTTGGCAATAAATTTAATTACTTTTGATCATTTATTTTGTGCACATAAATATTCTCTCTTCTTCTAATACAACTTAAAAAACTGCAAGAAACGATGATATTATAACAAAAAATGTAATATATATGTATATATGTCGATATATAAACATAGATATAGAAAAGTATATGTAAAAAAACCTGCAATGCGACCAGAATAAGACTCAAATTTTAGCATTTGGTATAGTAATGATCCTCTATGAATCTCCCCGCTCTAGGACAATTCTAAGGGGTCCCGCGTCGAGCGTTTAGTTTTCCCATAGGAATTACACGTAAAAAAATAATTTCTTGCCTTTTGAGGTCTATATAATTTTCTACGATCAAACTGTAAGAATACATTGATTACATGCTATTTAAATTCCTAAATTATCCTTTTTTAATCCCTTGTTCTATTTGGGTAAAATCTAGAATGTATATGAGAAAATCCCACGAGAAAAAAATGTTTTTCATTGTCACTCGAAAAAATCATAATTGTTTTGTTTTAATAACTTTGGTAATGTTTCATGTTTGAGGCAATGGACGTTGACATCTGGGAAGTTTCAAGAATGTACCACCCAATTAAAAAAAGGCAGCATGTGGAGTATCTGTCGCAGCTATTTTGTAATTTTTAAAATGTTACGATTTTTTTAATTTTAATAATTTAGGTTACTTCAAAATGTTAAAATTATACGATAGAAATGTTCTTCTTTCCAAAACGAACGAATCTAGTGTAATAAGACTTGTGTCTCACTAAATGAAAAAAAATTACAGTGAGTAAAGGTGACTATGATTTATTTATTTATTTATTTATTTATTACGGCTCAAAGCCTAATTCAAAATACAATTTACACTATCCTATCTTATAGGTAAAGTTTTACAAAATTCATATAATTTTGCCTTAAAAACTAAGATTTCATTGCAGTTTTTAATTTCCAATGGGAGCTCGTTGTAGCCTTTTAGGCCTTTGTAGAAAATATTTTGCTTATCTATTTCTGTTCGAAACAATGGCAATTTGAAATTATGTCTATTCCTAGTATTTATATTGTGTGTTTGCTCCACTAAAACTACGTTGTTACTTAAATACTCAGGTACATTTCCATGTTTTATATTAAATATCAACTTCATGGTGTGAAAGTAAATTTTTTGTTTGACACTCAACCAGTTCAACTTTTTTAACATATCACCCGTTCTAGCATCTCTACGTTTTTTAAGAATAAACCTCATGCATCTGTTTTGAAGCTTTTGTAGTTTATCAATTTCTTTGTCTGCTATTATGAATAGGATCGATGGGCAATACACAAAGTGTGGTTCAATGACCGATTTATAAATAATTATTTTATATTTTTCTTGTATATACTTGGTAGTTCTCTGCACAACCCCAATCTTTTTCGCGACTTTCTCCACTATGTAGTTTATATGTTCTTCAAATTTAAGTTTGTTATCAATTATAATTCCTAAATATTTTATGCTATTAACTTTTTGTATGCTTTCATTATTTATTTTTAGCCCACTTAAGTCTTCATCATTAATATTTTTCCTAGTTATCACCATATATTTCGTTTTATTTATGTTAAGCTTTAGCCTATTCGCGCATAGCCATGTGTATAAGTTATTAAGATCATTTTGCATTTTTGTTACCGCAGTAGTAATATTATCATCACTGATCATAAGTAATGCATCATCTGCAAATAGTTTGATCTCACAGTCTTGTATTACATTTATTATATCATTTATATATATGAGGAACAGTATTGGTGCTAGCACCGAGCCTTGTGGTAAACCTATGGGCACTTCCAATTCGTCCGATATCGCTGTTTTTATAACTGTTCGCTGTTTCCTATGCTTTAAATAACTGCGAAACCACGCAAGCTCTATGTCTTTAATACCGATTTGTTGAAGCTTTTTGATAAGTATTTCCCTGTCTACCGTTTCGAAGGCTCTTTTAAGGTCAAGAAAGACAGCAACCACCACTTTCTTATTATTTAGGTCGTCTTTCCACTCCGATATCACAAAGTTAAGAGCTGTTTCGCACGAATGTTTTTTTCCTAAAACCCGACTGTTGACTGACAAGTATTTTGTTTGAATCTAGATGTTTTACCAATTGATTCTTAACATACACCTCAAGAATTTTAGCATCACTTGGTATGGTATTTATGGGTCTGAGCTCTTCTGGTTGTATTGTCTTTTTTACTTTTTCAACTGGGATCACCGTTGACATTTTCCACTTTTCTGGTACAATACCATCTTCCAAACTGCTATTTATTATTTGGGCGTAGAAATACCCTGTATACATTATAGAGTCTTTTATTACACCGTCAGACAGAATTTTTCTACCGCCTATTTTGTATTTAAAATCTTGCAGGATTTTTATAACTTCATCGGTTTTAATTTTTGCAAACTTAAATTCGGAATTGGCGTGACTACCACTTAGTGTTATATCGAAATATTCTATAATATTATTTATTTCTATCACACTATTTATAAAAAACTTGTTAAGTCCATTTGCCAAAGCAAGATCATCTTCTACCAATATACCATCGATTACCGCTTTATTAATACCTTCCTTATCACGCGCCAAGCAGACCGTGGATTTAAGGTACTTCCACATTTCTTTGGCGTTGTTTTCATTCATTATGACTTTATTTTCCATGTATTTAATTTTCTTTATTTTAACCAGGTTTTTATACATTTTATTAATATTTTTGTATTCATCCCACAATCCTGTCTGTATAGCACATGTATATAAATAAAATTTATGTTTATTTAATTGTGCAAGCTCTCTATCGTACCACTTATTCATTAGTTTTATATGTACTTCTTTTTCATAAGTTAAATTTTCCATTGCTTGCGTTAAAATGTGGTTCACTAGTTCAACTTTATCATCAATTAATGCGTTTTCATCGATATTAAAATTAAAAGTCCTTAGTAGGTTTAATAAACTGTCATTACTATATTTATCCCAAGCAATAATTTTCTTGGACACTCTCATCTTATAAGATTTAGATGATGGAACATTGAACATTATAGTTTCATGATCGGAAATTTTGTATGCTTGCAAAGATTTACACTTTATTTCTTCTGAATTTGAATATACGAGATCAATTTTAGATTCAGTTGTATCCGTAATTCGTGTATTAAAATCCACTTTTTGAGCCATACCCATCACCGAAAATATTTCATTCAGTCTTGTACTATATGTTGATATATGATTCATGTTAATATTAAAATCACCAACTATTATATTGTGGTTACTTTTTTCATATTTATCAATTAATATTTCATTTAAATAGTCTAAGAAAGCTGCATCACTTGTGCTTGGCGAGTGATAGAGCACCCCTATTTGCCACTTTTTACCCAGTTTTTTCAATTTTATTACAATACACCACAAGTTCATGTTAACACTATCATTGTATATTATATTAAAGTTTATTTCTCTATGTACGTATATTAGTACTCCGCCAGTGTGCCTGCTGTGGGAATCACATCTTATCATGTTAAAAGTTGCTATTTCCAATTCTTTATCTTCAATATCTTTTGTTGTACACGTTTCAGAGCATAATATGATCGCCGGCTTATGAACTTCCGCCATCACTTCCAATTCACTTTTATTCGAAACTATGCTATTAATATTTAAGTAAATACATTTTAATACACTGTTAGCAGCATTTGCAGACTTGCTTTTGCGGTTAACTTTTGCGGGAATATATTCCCTATGTTGATCTACAACTTCTGAGTGGTGTGTTAGTTGCTAATAACCAAGCCTATGCTTTTTTGCACTTAAGTGCTTTAAATAGACTGGACAATCTCGGCTATTACATAAGTGATTTTCGTCTAGCCCTAAGTTCAATTTTTCATTAGCCTTTATGCAATTTATACACTTGTTTTTAGGAGTTTCATTACACTCCGTGGTTTTGTGTTTTCCCAGACATTTACTGCACACTTCTTCACTTTTACAATCGGTCGCTTTATGATTGTATCCTTTGCATTTAAAACACGTTGTCACGTTAACACCATCGTAAAATCTGCATCTTTCCCATCCTATGTTTAGCTTATCTAACTTCATAACGCTAGTAAACATACACTCATCCACCTCTACAATTGCGTTATAATAGGTTTTGGTGTTATTTTTGACACTATATTGTTTAATAACTTTTATTTCGCCTTGCTCTAGGCATTTGTTTTGGTTCTTTAAACATTCTATCAATTCATCACTATTTTTTTTATTTTGATTTGAGAAACTAAAATTCTATTTTTACATTTTTTTTGGTGTACTCGAAATTCAATTTAAAATTGTTATGCACACGAAGAAAGAAATATATATGTGCAATAGAGTGGTTCAAAATTGCATGCGAAAAAGTAAAGTCGGGATTTTAATGCCGGCACCCCCTAGAAATGTTCTATACCGAAAAAAATATACCCCTATTTTTTAATTTGAAAAAAAAAAACTTAGAGAGTGGTCAAAGCGCTCAAAGTTTTTCATGTATTTTATATGGGGAAAAAACAAGTTTTGTAGAAACGATATAAAATTCTTGAAAATCATTATTTTTAGATCGGTAAACTCGGTTCCTATTCTGCAGTAATAATACCCAAT